GCTTCTTCAGTTCTGACTAGTGGTGGGGAGAGCTTAGAATAATATACTGTGGGTCTAACAAAGAGTTAGGGGGGACAAACGGTGGCATTGATCCCCCCAGGTTAGAACTAAACAAGCCTCTTGGGTGAGAGGCAAAATATCTTAGAGAGGTAACCCGTTTACAGAGATAGTTCTCCCTGTTAACAGTAGCTACACCTCCACCATAATCTGTCATCCCCAGAAAGTTATAGTAGGTGCAGTTCAGTGACAAAAGTTCAGAGAAAGCCCTAAACCCACCTACAGTCATCAATGTCTTAGGCATAAATCAGACTAGCCTGGCCAAAGTTGAAAGGATTTACAGTACGCCATCCCCTTAGAGATTGAGGGAAGAGAGACAACCGGTTGGTTACCCCCGATCCAAACAAACCACAGGAATCAAGCAGCAGATTGGATCCTAAAAGCACTATGAAATAAAACAATATGTTGTCTTAATTCTTTAGGGAGACCTATAGGACAATACGCAATTATAAACCGGCACAGGTAGACCCGTAAATCATGTAGAAACTGGGGGCAAAACACTTCTTGGTTTTTTTGCCCATGTAGAGCTGAATTAAATAAAAAAGGTCACAGATTAAAGAGTGTTTGGCAATTATATACAAGAGCTAGTATTTTGAACAGTAGATCTATATAGTTTAAAAATGCACACAAAAAAATAAAACAAAAGTTTGCAGAGGTCAACAAGCCAACACTTACTTTATTATGTTACCCTTGAATGTTGATATAATATTAGTATCTATATGTTGCTTAATCACACAGATATATAATGCGGGTAACAACAAAATAATATTTTATGTCATACTACCAATCCGACTAGATCAGATCAAATCGAATTGATTGATTTATGAATCTATAACCAGCTCTTCTGTCTTACTCACTGGGTGGTTTTGGATACCTCTGAAACTCCAGAGAGCATGTTTACCTAGAAACAGTAGTTTTCTTGCATTTCCTCTGTATTTAACGAGGTCCCACTGTATACACTTAAAAAGTGTATATGTGCACAAGTGGCACTGCAGCACAACTACACAAATATGAAAATGGGGATTGTTCTCAGTGTCTCAGTTCTGCAGTCATGCGGTTGTTAAAAGGTTTTGGTCCCGTCTTAGAGAAGTACAACTGAGCCATGGGTATATATTTAGATCGATCGATCTAAATATATATAAATTATTATTAATAATTGATAAATTAGACCCCTCTGTCCTCATCATAAAATACATTTGGATAATTCAATTTCAACCATCTCTCACAAAGCGACATCCTACAGAATTCCTACAAAAGCATGAAAAAGTCCCAAGACACCATGTAACACTTAAATGTTAACACTGGAAAAGTTTAATGTATTTGGAATGTGAAATTTTCTAATAGGCCCCAAGGCTATATCTGCATTACTCATATTTTTCTTCTGTTGCTTGAAAGATGTTCGCACAGATAGGGACTGAAAAGATGAAGCGTACACATTATCAGTATTGTGTGCTCACAAATTAAAATCAGATATTCACAACAGCAGCTGCTTTTTTTTTTACACCCTTACCTTTTACCCTATTCCCTTTGGGAAAGCTGTATTGGAATATAAGTGAGTTTTTTATTTCTTTAATTTTCACAAACAATGAATGCAAAATAAAAAGACGAAAAAAGAACCAATCCAGTGCGATAAAGTTTGCTGTATGAACTCTAATTGTCATGCTGCCTTCTGCCTATGGTAACAGGCATTTACTTACACATCTGTTATGTGCACCATAACATGTAAATGCCATATTATGATAATAAACATTTCACCTATTTGTTTATCTTTGTATCCAATCATTCATCCGTCGAAATTTGTTCATCTGCTTATCTGTGCATCCCTTCCCTTATTCATCTATCCATCCTGGCAGCCATTTACCACTATGGAAATATCTGTCACGATTCCACGTTTAACTTGGTACTTTTAAATGTGTAAAAAAGGGGGGGGGGGGGGGGACCTGAAAATGTGTCTCTAACAAGTTGTCAATTAGCTTAAAAGGATGTCAATCATAAGTAGACTTTTTTAGTTTTATATTGTAAACAAAATGGTTAGATTTTATTTACTTGTGGCTCAGTAAAACCTTGATGAACATTTCTTCTTATAGATTTTTCCCATTTAACTTTAAAATCTGTGTGCCATTTTTTTCTCGTAACAGGAGAAAGTAAAGCCTGTTGTGAATATATCTTTAAAACAAACTTACTCTAAATCCTGAAGGTCTTTTGCCAGCAGAGTGTAGAAAATATGTGACAGTGTCTATGAGTATCTTGAGTTAAGTAAATATTGGCAGCACAGTGGATAGTTAGCTGGTTAATTAAGACTTTTTTTTACATAATTTTGTCAAATTGAGTTGGTAATATCGCTGTGGTCTCTACGAACCCCTTAGCTGACCCTGGATGTTAACATGTGAGAAGAATATTATTTTAAGAGCCACTTAACCCAAAGTGTGCTTCCTGTGCACACATCTGTTGTCATTATCCTTGAACCGTGCCTCCCTGCAGTTCTCACCCTTTCCAGCTACTCCATTAGCACCCCCGGTTTTCTGCAGTGGCTTCGTCTCCCCGTGACTCGTGCCATGAAATGACCTCACGCAGATTTAGTTACATCCGTCTTTATAGAGAATGCAAGCTTTGAAAAGGTCCTTTGTAATTGGATGCCACTGTAGATTTTAGTGGGTTAGCTCACACCTGTGGGACTGCTGATGAACTCAGAGCTTGGAAATAGAAAGACGTACCTGTGTAGTCTGTTGTGTCCCCTTTTGCAGCCATTGCACTTCAAGTAATTGAAAAGCAGAAGTGTTAATCAGTTTTGGGCAGCTTCCTGTCCCTTTTTGCTAATTGCTTCCCTCTGACCTTCTTTTAATTACCATCCCTTTTTCATTTCAGCTCTCCTTGTGTTCTATATTTTTTCTCTTATGCCTCTTTTTTATTTTTTTCCCCTCCTGTTTTGCCTTCTACTTCTCCTGCTAGTGCTTGATAGGCAGCGTTAGCCAGTGGGTGTTGGGCGGCCTGATTACTCTGAACTATCCACAGCTGCAGCAGCTAATGAGGAAAACACTCCCATCAGCGAATAATTGCTGTTTAGGAAGCTGGTTGGCACGAGCGTTCCAGTCGCTCAGATCGGCTGCAGAGTGGATCACAACCCACCCGGCAACTCGTCGGTGGCACAGCGTGCAGCAATCTGTTGCGTTCCACTTGTTTTGTCCCTAAAATAGACAGTTTATTGTTCCATCTCCCAGCTCCTCTCATTTGGTATTCTTCCCGTCAGACTGCACAATGTTGCAGCTCATTTTTGAGCTGATAAATTAAGAGCGAGAAAATTGGAAAGTGAGAAGGAGGATGAAACAAAGGATATTAAAAGATAGGAGGATGAGAGAGCAGAGGGACAGCTTGAGAATTAGCTCACAAAAAAAGTAGAGTAAACATAAAGCATGAGAGAGCAATGAGAAGTGATGAAGCAAAAGCTACAATAAAGAGATTAAAGGATAGAGCTGGCACTGTTCTATATTTTTATTATTGTTAACAAATCAGGAATTAGTCAGAGTCCATCAGAGACTTTCAGCCCATTTTGAAAACAAGCAGCAATTTTCCAAACAGCTGCTAAAAAGCACTCTATCTTTTATCAGATATCCCCCAAACAAAAGCCAAATGTGGCTTTAATAGCTGTGTATTGTTCTGGAAAAAGATACAGTACCCTCTACTGAGTATCTGGGTCTGTAGACAGTTGCGAAAAGTCTAGAGATATTCTTTAGACCTATTCCAATATATAAAGAAAAGAAAATAGAGAGGGAAAGAATATTTGCATCTCATTTTTTTTTTTCCACCACTGCCTGATATATAAACCTTTATAAATGAATAGCTTTGAGCAGATCCCTTTCTGGTTACCTTTAGTAGAAAAGGTACAGCCTGAGTCTGTTCATCCATTGACTCTACTTTCTGTCCATAAATCCACTCTGTGTTCCTTCTCTTTTTCTTTTGCTTCTTTTCTGCAATCAGTAGATGTCTCTCTATAAACCCGTTTATTGAAGAGATGCAGACTAATCATTTGTCATTCATCAATCTGTCCTCCGTTTATCTTTTGTTCCTCCCTTTTTCCCTTCCTTGTCAATGATTTATTTCCTTTTTTTCTTGTATCACACTTTCTCTTTCCTTTCTTCCTTTATACTGTTTTCTGTCTTTCTTCTTTTTTCATTTATTTCTAGATTTCTTCCTTTATTGCTGTCTTGCATTTTCCTTTATCCTTTCCTTCAGGCTTTTTTACATCCTTCTTTTTTTATTTACTTTTTCTTCCTCTCTTTGTACGTTTACAATATTATCCATCAATCTAGTAAGGTTTTAGGAGGTTTCACATCTAATATCTAAACAGTATATAGATATTCATAAATTGTCAGAGACATCAGGGAAAACTAGTCTAAAAGTTTGAAATAACAAATTTATAGAAAACATGTTCTACGACACTGTTTAATGGAAATAATTCCTCATCGTTTTAAAAACAATTAACATTTACATGATCTTAAGTGAGAAATCTAATTTGAATACCACAAAAATCAAAAGTGCAGAGTCGTTATCCTAAAGCAGAAAGAAATGGGGGGAAAAGTTGACAACCGGCAATGGCAAACTTTATTGCACTGGATAGGTTCTTCTTCCGTCTTTTTATTTTGCATTCATTGTTTGTGAAAATGAAAGAAATAAAAAATGTCATATCACTTATATTCCAATACAGCTTTCCAAAAGGGACAGTTGACAGTTGAAGATAACCGAAGATATAATTTTGAAAGACAAACTGGGGAAAGACCCAAGCAGGCAACATAAAATTAGAGTTCAGTACGAGACCAGCAATGAAAACTAATAAAACAATATGAGCCATTGGTTATTACATGTCATAGAGCAGGCCTCCAAGAAGCACAAGGTGAAAGCTGACCAATAAAAAAATGTTGAAACACTATCCTTTTTTTTTTTTCCAGAATCCCCCTGACTGCAGTAAGGCAAGAAAGCTGGTGTGTAACATCAATAAGGGCTGCGGTTATGGCTGCCAGCTGCACCATGTTGTCTACTGCTTCATGATTGCATACGGCACTCAACGCACACTCATCCTGGAATCACACAATTGGCGCTACGCCCCCGGCGGCTGGGAGACTGTATTTCTGCCCGTCAGTAACACATGTACTGACCGGTCTGGGACTTCCACTGGACACTGGTCAGGTGGGTACATCTATAGCAACACAGTCACAGTAGGAACAACACTAGCGTTAGTACAGGCAGCTGTTATTGTGATGAACTACTTATCTGTTTTAGAACAATCCAGGCTGAAAACTGTGTTCCTGCCCTGAATCTTGTGTTAAAAAAAAAAAAAAACACTTCATCTTCTGTTCTAATCTATGTTAACAAAACAACTCCCCTTTTAACTTTCTTCTTCTTGCTGTTTCTTAATCATTCTATGATATTAATATACATTTCAGCACCGGCTTAGCAGAAATGAACCTCACCAATCAGAGCAGGCTTATGAAGTTTCAATTCGGAGTGTTTTTCCCCAGTTGCAGTCCCCTGCAGCATGGATTCACTGAAGGCTCTTTTATTTTCACATTAAAAGCTGCTCTTGGGCATTGTTAACATATCCCTGCAAAAAAATCCATTTTGACATCAATATTTCATGTCGTCCTGAATATAGAAATTCATGTTTTCAAACTCACTACTGTTTTTTTTCACGTATTTTTTCCTAATAAATTATAAACACGGTTTAATAATATATAGTCTGGTATTTAGCTTTTAAAGATGCCATGTCTCCAAGAATATTTTAGTTTGTTTTTTGTTTACATCCATGGATTGTAGACCTGCGTGGTCTCAGCACATGGGGCTTCCATGTTCCTATGTCTTATGTTCACTCACCTTTATGTGGGTACCGCCTTGTATTGTTGGTAAGAGGGTTTTTATTTACCCTGGATGTTTAAAACTCAGACTCAGACTCTTAATCTTTTCTTTTCCTCCTTAAAACATCAGATTTTCAATTGAATGAGTCTGATTCGTATACTAAGAAATTCCATTTAACATCCATCCATCCATTAACAGGACATACAACCATTCACACACACACCTAAGGAGAATTTAGAGAAGCCAATTAACCTAACAGTCATGTTTTTGGACTGTGGGAGGAAGCCGGAGTATCTGGAGAGAACCCACGCATGCTCAGGGAGAACATGAAAACTCCATGCAAAAAGACCCCGGGCCGGGATTCGAACCCAGAACCTTCTTGCTGCAAGGCGGCTGTGCTACCCACTGCAGTCCATTTAACAAATAATAAATCAAATATTTATAGGGGTTCATTTATCTTGTTTATAATTTAATTGCATGGTTGTTATACAGAGCTCTCCACCCTTATTGGCATTGACAATGGCTGTCCTACTAGTAGCACCATGTCACACTGAAAGTGTACTGGTTTTATCAATTCTAATTGGTGAAATGTCAGTAAACCTTTTCTGTTTTATATCTTATTTTTTCAGGTTTTTAGTGCTACATATATGGCGTGAATTAAATTTTAGATAAGTTTATTTATATAGCATCAGTTGATAACATGCAATGTGTTATGATAGATTAACGGCAGACTCTGAAGGGAAGTGAGTGCCTCATTGTCTTCAGGCAAATGTGAGAACGCACTGTATTATTTAACCCGGTTGGAGGAATTGAGCACATCCGCCACCAAAAAACTGAACTAATCAAAACATTCGCTTAACATCCAATTCTACCACTTAGCTGCTAAATAGAAAACATAAATAAACAGATAGATGCTTTTCACAGAAAACATACACCAACAATAGGGCTACACTGTTCTGTTATCACCACAAGCAACCTTTTAAACGAAAAAACTCCAATTCTAGTTTAAATTCAGTGACAATTTTTGATTTGGGCAACGTGGGAAGCCACACAAGATGGGTTCTTGTAAAGTATAAGATCCCCTTTCCCCCGACTTGTTCCTAATATTGTGGCCGACTCTGTGAACGCATTCATTTAAGACCAATCTTACAGTCTAATGATCTACATGCAAAGCTCGACCTGCCATCAAAGGGAATATTAAGACTCATTTAGGGAATCCAAAATCACAAATTCCATCTTATCTTCCATGTTTTAAAATCCATAATGGATCCTGTAATCCATTGTCCATTATTCCATACATTTTTGCATTTTTTGTAGGAAAGTAATTTCGGAAATATTTGTAGGAATTCTAAACCTTTAGCCTTGGTCTCTGAAGGTCTTGTCTTGGTCTTGGAAGAACCAGTCTTTATGCATTGCTGCTCTTTACTATAACCCCTTGCTCACACTGGCTCTGGTGCGGGTACCGAGCCGACGGAGACCGCAACTCCCGCACACCCCCTCTCACACCGCCCTTTTGAATACGGTGCGGTGCGGCTCTGCGGCTCCGGCAACAGGTCCGGAGATTTAAC